TTATTTACACAACATACATGAATCCTGAAACATCATCATGTATTGATAAAGCACAACTTGATGATGACGAGGTTCACCTTTTTTTCAATCCCCCTTGTAAACTCCATTCACAACCCAACGAAATGATTTCACCTAATCCAAATAATGTTGATTCTATAAACATCCGAAAATCTTCAAACTCTTTTTTCCTATACCGCAAAAATTATATTGCAAAACATAAATCTCCTAGGAATAAAAAGGACGGGAGGATTCTTTCAAATGAAGCCAGTGTTTCCTGGAAGAATGAATCGGACAAAGTAAAGAGTTACTTTAAAGTATTAGCAAAAGTAGCTTTTCAAAAACATATAATAGCTTATGAAAATAGAAAAAATCATAATCATATTTTTATTCCTCAACAACCAGGACCACAACAAAACTCCATAGATAATGATAATAACGATCCTGTGGTTTCATCATCACACTATCCACATTCTACTTGTCGTCACACAAACGATAATACGACCTCGTCTTATCAACAACTAGAACTGCAAAAAGATAATCTTCATAATACCGATTGTGCAGTTTCATCATCATCTAGTCAATATTATTCTATTTCTTCTTATACAAATTTTATAAATCAACAACAACAAAAAGATAACCTTCATCAAAAAAACAATAACAATGGTGTAGTTTCATCATCATCTTGTCAATGCTCTACTTTTTCTTGCGCAAATGACAATGAAACCTCGCTTCTTTTTGTGGCTCAACAACCAGAATTACAGCAAAAACAAAAAGAAAATAATAACGACTGTGCAGCTTCTTCATCACCTCATCCATTTTCTTGCAGAAGTGACAATACAAACTCGTCTCATTTTATGATTCAACAACTACAACAAAAAGATAATTTTTGCAAAAACAATAATAGCGATGGTACGGTTTCATCATCATCATTACTTCATCCACATTCTCCTCCTCCTTCCTCTTCGTCCTACCTTCTGCCCCACCAACTACAACCACACCCAACATCTAATTTCTTTACAAGCCACAACAACGCTCGCCCACCTTCACCACCC